ATATATTTCACCCTAATTCTTAATTAGGATTCACACATATATATACACATAATTTCTATTGAAAAATACAAATCACATGCTTTATGGTAAATATTAAAAAAAAATATGTAACTAATTTATGGAATTCAATTCTAAATTGAATTCTACAACTTAGTCATACTTTTAAAATAAAAACATGTAACTCATTTATAGAATTCAATTCTAAATTCAATTCTATAACTTAGTTAATATTTTAAAATAAAAATATATAACTCATTTATGGAATTCAATTCAAAATTAAATTCTACAACTTAGTCATACTTTTAAAATAAAAACATGTAACTCATTTATGGAATTCNTTTTTTTAATTTAATTATCAAATAATAAAGTAATTAATCCTTTAGCAAAGATCATAACACTCGTTAGTGTGCGACCCCATAGGTTCAATACTAAACCGTTAGTAAATTGATCACATCAATATACTAATCAAGGGTGGCGTCTAGCAACACTCCTTAACGACCGGATAGTATAAAGTATATAATTTACTCTCAAGAATCTGTAGAAGAATAATGTATTAATTCCTTCTGTCCTTATAGCTCTGGGTCACACTAGGATATGGTTCAACTGTCAAATCTTAATAGGCGGCCAACTATGTGTTCATGTCAAAAATAATCGACCATTGAATGACCTAAGAAACTCTTTTCTTCTTTCATTCAATCGCTCTGGCCAAGGTCTTAATTTGGTCAGTTATAATTTATGACAACATGGAGCTTAAACTCATTACCAAAAGTTGACAGATTCCATCTTGATCAATCACTAATTCTACAAGTATTTAATCGTACCCAATATCCTTTCAACTATTGCCCTAGGGCCATATGTGTCTAGTATCTAAGCACAATAAATAACTTGTCAATTACTATGATGATATCAGGTCAAAGAAAATTCTTACATCACATTCTTCAAGAGAATATCCTATTGATAGTTTATGGTAATTCTAACCATTAGAAATTATCCAATTAATCGGTTCAATGATCATATCTCTATATGCATCCCCTATTTATGTTATTTAGTTAATGAGATCAACTAATCTTTATCCCATAAAGACGATCATATAAATATAGATCTAACCGGATTACTAATGTCCAAATTAATAATCCTACGATCAAGAATAAAATTTAGATTAAATTGTAAGAGACTTTACTCTCATTATCATGATCTCCATCATGATTACAAGTCTCAAAATTTAATCAAGGACTTTATTAAATTAATCAATTAATTAATAATAACTATGATAAACGAATATCAAATGCCATATATTTTTATATCAAATAACATTCACAAAAATATGTTCAAATCATCAAATATGAGATTGGATCTAGGGCATATCTAATATATCCCTAACAATATCCCACTTGCACTAGAGCCAATTGCTCTTGTACTTCATTCCCAATTTTCACTTGTGCTTGTCAACCTCCTTTGCTCCAAGTGCTTTAGTGAATGGGTCTGCAACATTTTCTTTTCCATCAACCTTTTGAATTTCGATGTCTCCACGTTCAATGATCTCTCTTATCAAGTGATACCTTCGCAGGACGTGTTTGGATTTTTGGTGTGATCTTGGTTCTTTTGCTTGAGCAATGGCTCCAGTATTGTCACACAATAATGGAACTGCACCTTCTATTAAAGGAACCACACCAAGTTCATTTAAGAACTTTTTCATCCATACAGCTTCCTTAGCAGCTTCACTAGCTGCTATATATTCTGCTTTAGTCACTGAATCATCTACTGTAGCTTATTTGGAACTTTTCCAACTCATTGCCCCACCATTTAAGGTGAATACATAACCAGAAATAGATTTGCTATCATCTCTATATGAAGAGAAACTTGCATCAGCATAACCTTCAAGTTTCAACTCAGAATCTCCATAAATAAGGAATTGGTCTTTAGTCCTTCTTAAGTACTTAAGAATGGTCTTCACCATCTTTCAATGTTCCTCACCAGGATTTGCCTGATATCAGCTAGTCACTCCTAGTGCATAAGCCACATCAGGACGTGTACATGTCATGGGATCCTACTCATGCGTTCTCTCTCTTCAGATGTTTTAGGACAATCCTCCCTGCTGAGAGTAATTCCAGTGCCTATCATTAGATAGCCTCTTTTGGAATTATCCATGTTATACCTCTTTAAGATGCTATCAATGTACAAGGACTGGGAAAGCCCAAGCAGCTTCCTAGATCTTTCTCTATAGATCTTTATTACCAATATATAAGTTGCTTCTCCCAAGTCTTTCATGGATAACTGTTCAGATAGCCAAATCTTGGTACTTTGCAATGCCGGTATATCATTTCCTATAAGCAATATATCATCAACATAAAGTATTAAGAATATAATTGTGCTCCCACTAACCTTTTTGTACACACAAGGTTCTTCTTCGCATTTAACAAAATTGAACTTTTCACTTGTCTTGTTAAAGCGAATATTCCAACTTCGAGAAGCTTGATTTAGTCCATAAATGGATCTTTGTAGCTTACAAATTTTATTATGATCAGACGGGGATGTGAAACCTTCAGGTTGTGTCATGTACACATCCTCTTCTAGCTCACCATTAAGGAAAGCTGTTTTCACATCCATTTGCCATATTTCATAATCATAGTAGGCTGCTACAGCAAGCAAAATCCGAATTGATTTGAGCATTGCCACGGGAGAGAAAGTCCCGTCATAGTCGACTCCTTCTTTCTGACGATATCCCTTGGCAACAAGACGGGCTTTGTAGGTCTCCACCCTTCCATCTGCTCCAATCTTTTTCTTAAAAACCTATTTACAACATATAGGTTTTATATCCTTTGAAGGTTCAACTAAAGTCCATACTTTATTTTCCTTCATGGATTCCATTTTGGATTCCATGGCCTTTTGACATTTCTCATAATCAGAACTTTGCATAGCCTCTTCATAGGTCTTAGAGTCATCATCATTATGATCAACCTCATTTGATACATCATCTTGTACCATTAGATTTAATCTAGTTGGTACATGACGTTCTCGTGTAGACCTTCTAAGATGTACTTGTACAACTTGTTCACATTGTGATGGATTTAGTTGTTGTTCAATTTAGTTTAGAACTGGTTCATTTACCTGTTCTTAAACTACATTTAGTTCTTGAACTTCAACCGTTGAAGATGGCAACTTCCTTGTCAACTTCAAAACATCCAATAAAGGTTCTTCAACTTGTGTCTCATGATCTTGATTTTGTGTTGATTTATTAGTTTCTTAAACTTCATCAAGTTTTATTTCTCCACTATAATTTCCTTCCAAAAGAAATTCCCTTTCCAAAAAGGTTGCTCCTCTAGCCACAAACACTTTATAGTCAGAAGGGTGATAAAAGAAATATCCCATTGTTTCTTTGGGATACCCAATGAATCTACACTTATCAGATCTTGAGTTAAGTTTATCAGATTGAAGTCTCTTAACATAAGCTAGACAACCCCAAACTTTAATATGCTTAAGATTAGGCTTACGTCCTTTCCATATCTCATATGGTGTTGTAGAAACTGCTTAGTGGGAACTTTATTAAGTAAGTATATTGTTGCTTCCAAAGCATATCCCCATAAATTTATTGGAAGATCAGTGAACCCCATCATAGATCTCACCATATCTAATAAGGTTCGATTTCTCCTTCCAGACACACCATTGTGTTGTGGTGTTCCTGGAGGTGTCCACTGTGAGAGAATCCCATTCTCTTTGAGATACCTAGTAAAATTTTCACTAAGATATTTTCCACCTCTATCAGACCTTAGTACTTTAATACTTTTACAAGTATATTTCTCAACTTCACTACGGAACCTTTTGAACATTTCAAAAGATTCAGATTTGTGTTTCATAAGATACACAAATCCATATCTTGACATATCATCAGTGAAGGTGATGAAGTAAGAATATCCACCTCTAGCTTGAATTTTCATGGGCCCACAAGCATCTGTATGAATTAGTCCCAATAATTCAGTAGCTCTTTCTCCACGTCTAGTAAATGGAGATTTGGTCATTTTTCCTTTGAGACAAGATTCACAAGTTGGATATGATTCAAAATTATACTTGTCAAGGTACTCTTCCTTGTACAACTTGTTAATTCTTTTCTATCCTATATGACCAAGTCTACAATGCCAAAGGTATGTATGATTTACTTGATCATCTCTTTTCCTCTTAAGATTTGAAACATGCATAATCGAATTAGCATTCACATTTGGTAAGACATAAACATCATGTTGGAGATAGCCATTCACATATAAATTATCACCATAATAAATAGAGCAAATACCATTGTTTATAATAATGCGAAAACCACGTTTGTCTAACATAGAAGCTGAAATTATGTTCGAAACATATTTAGGAACGTAATAACAATCATCCAACATAAGTACTTTGCCCGTAGGCATTATTAAAGAAATTGATCCTACAGCTACGGCCGCAACTTTTGCACCATTTCCAACTTGTAGATTAATTTCTCCCTTCTTCAACCTTCTACTTATTTGGAACCCCTGCAACATATTGCAGATGTTATAACCACTTCCAGTATCTAATACCCACAATGAAGCATCAGTAGTAGTTAAAGAAACTTTGAAAATATTTTTCATTTGAGTCTTACCTTGTTTCTTGTCATTTAGAGTTGCAAGATACTCTTGACAATTTCTCTTACAATGTCCTATTTTCTTACAATGGAAACATCCAGCATCGGATTGGTCAACTTTTCCTCTTTTGCCTTTGGGTTTGGTCACACCACCCTTAAGCGCAATAGGCTTCTTTTTGGATTTATTTTTACCCTTACCCTTCTTCTTAGAAGAGTTTCCAACCAACATGACAGTTCCTTTCTTCTTCTCAGATGCAAGTTGATTATCATAATCAATTAGCATTTAAAGCATATCATGAAGATCACAATCCATTTTATGCATATTGAAATTAATAATAAATTGTGAAAAGAATTCAGAGAGTGACTGCAAGATCAAATCTTGAGAAAGCTCTTTACCCAGTTTTCACCCCAACTTCTCAAGTTCTTCAATAAGATCAATCATATGATTGACATAGGGTCCAACTAGAGAGTTTCCAGTCAATTTGGATCCAAATAAACTCTTAGATAGCTGGTATCTAGCTGTCCTGCTTTGTGTACCAAACATCTTCCTAAGATGTTCAATGATTGCAGTTGGATCCATATCCTGATGTTTCCTCTGGAGCTCAGAACTCATAGAAGCGAGAATGATGCATTTGGTAGTAAGACATTCTTCCAAGTATTTCTGATAAATCTTTGTGGCATCATCGTCATCCTTATTTGGGACTTCCTTAGAGGGTTTATTGATCACATCAATAAGCTTTTCATGCATGAGAACAATTCTCAAATTTCTGTACCAATCATCAAAGTTTGATCCTACCACTTTGTTGGCCTCAGGTATTCCACGCAGTGATATAACAGACATATTGAGAAATCTAAAATATGAAAAAGAAAAGGCAATAATATAAGAACATATTTACATATATATCATAAAGACATGAACTTTTATCTAATGATATTTTCACTAATTATTTTAAACTATTTACCCTCATTATAGTTTAAGAAATCTCTATTTCTTTTAGTGGAGTAAAGAAATCCTTTAACAATATGTATGAGCCCCTTGGATGTCAAGTCGTTTCTCACGTATATTTTAAAGGTAGGTACTTTTACCAATTGTATCCCCATACAATATCCTTAAATAGCTCTATGTCATATAGTCCCCTGGTAGTCAGGTCGATCCTTTTGGCATAGTTGAGTTCAACCATCATGAAAGCAAAGAACTTATTAAATTTTATACTCCCCCGGGTAGTCTAGGCGTCTAGTGTAAAATTAAATAATTCTTCCAATCCGTATATCTAATGCAATAAATGATTTTAATATATTCTCGAACTATAAGTCTCCTAGTTGTCAGGCCGCTCCTTATAAACAAGAAATAAATAAAATTATTTATTTTGATGGATAGCTTTACAATATAATATCTTATATTTTATTATTTAAGAACTCAAATTTTAGTAAGAGGGAATTGTTACTAAAAACATTTAATAACATAAAGATCAAATATTTTATAGCATGTGAATTTAGTTCAAGTTGTCTAAATACTTAGTCCTAAATTAATTTACATCACATGTAATAAATAATTCAAAATTATGTAATGAACAAACACGTGACATAAAAATGAAATTTAACATCGATCTTCTAACATGTTTATCTTATATGTCACATAAAATAATTCATGCTAGAAAATTATTATTAATTTATATCTCATAAATTAATAACAATTAAAATAATTATATAATCTAATAACCTATTATAGATTACCGTCATATCTTGTACGAAATTTCAAATTCAAGTTACGAACTATCTCAATAGTTTAACTTATATGAATATATATTTTATTCACAATAAAATAATATCAATCCATATGCATTCAAACAATTTGACTATTGCACAAGACATATGTATTATGGTTTTGTGATGACCCAAAAGGTCATCTTATGTTTTAGAACTCGAATATGCGCTCTTAAGCCTTAAAAATCTCATTTTTACCCTCCTCAATTTACGTGCGCAGTCCGGACAGCTTTTATGTTGAAAACTAATAAAAATAAGAATTTTTGCCTTAAAAGTTAATTTTAGTTGACTTCGGCCAACATTTTTGGTAACGGGACCGGATTCGTGCATTGCCAGTCCTGGTAGGTCTGTATCGAATTATGGGACCTGGGCGTATGCCCGGAATTGAATTCGGAGGT